AAGCGAAACACCAAAGGGGCAGCAAAATAAACCTCCGTAAATGCCTGATTCTGGGACACAAACAACAGGTGGAGGTGATTGCCTTCACATTCTGTTCATGATCTTCCCAGAAGCAGCTGCTCTTGGAAACAGTGTTTATGTGGACTTGTCCCAATGTATCAAGTTTGTTGTTAAATCTTTGCCAATTATCTCCAAGAAATTCAGGCATGAGGGAAATCAAAATAGACAAAATGACATTTAAATAAATGTAGTACCGTAGCAGTAGTTGCTGTTGTCGTCCCAACCTGTAGAGTGTGTCAAGCTTCGTGACTGTCTCAGAAATGATTGTTAGAGCAACAGCCCCTGCTAAGGACACCAAACGCATGTGGGATGCAGAGAGGAAATATCAGAACTGCCTCCAAAGAGCAGAAAAATTGTTCCATTCTGCACCAGAATTTGTGCCCTCTTGCTTTCAGCAATTTACTCATGGAAGCAGTTGGGAAATAAAGCAGTACAGTATATGCTGCCTTATTTCCCAACAAGAAAACCATGTTCTGACATAACCACGAAGCCACTGCACACATTCTCTCCTCATCTGCAAATGGATTAAACACCCTTCTCTGTCCCCACTTATTGTGAATGACTCCAGGATACGTGTTAGAGAGTCATAAAAAACTCAGTGCTGAACTAGGATCTCTGCCATCGTTTCACAGTCAACATTCATTAGACAGATTAGACAATACTGCAAACAGAAGCCAGTAGCTCTGGCACTACTGTGATGGCAAATCCACACGTATGGGCTTTTCAGCGTACAGTACTGCAATCCACATCCACCTGTGCTTGGATATCAGGAAAAGGAAGCACTTACATTAGTGCTTGTCCAGAAAAAAAAAGTACTGCTCAGCTCCCGCCAACCTATCAGTTCGAAAGCGTACTGCTTATCATTATCAGGAAGCATCTATTTTATGAAGCCTTAAGAAGGGAATTGCTAAGTCTGCTTGTGGCCTCCACAATATACTCTAGAGCAGTGGTTCTTAACCTTGAGTAACCCAGGTATTTTGGGACTTCAAATCCCAGAAGCCCCAACCAGCATAGCTGGTGGTGAAGGCTTCTGGGAATTGCAGTCCAAGAACACCTGGGTTACCCAAGGTTAAGAACCACTGCTCTAGAGAACCCAAGGGTTCCTCAAAAGTTTACTGGAGTTTCCCCTGAGAAGACTGCCAACAGAAGCTTTGTAGAAGATGAAATGTTGTTTTGTTTTTCTACTGCCACATACTGTATGCAGCCTCAGGCCAGTGTTTGTTGTGCCACTTTCATTTTATCCTCTAGACACTGCTGGGCCACAACTCCCAGAATCTTTAACGGTTGGCTGTACCAGAAGACTGCCAACAGAAGCTTTGCAGAAGATGACATTTTGTTTTGTTTTTCCACTGCCACATATGCAGCCTCAGGCCAGTGTTTTCTGTGCCACTTTCATTTTATCCTCTAGATACTGCTGGGCCACAACTCCCAGAATCTTTAACGGTTGGCTGTACCACACCTGGGTTACCCAGGGTTAAGAACCACTGTTCTAAAGAACTCAAGGGTTCCTCAAAAGTTTACTGGAGTTTCCCCTGAGAAGACTGCCAACAGAAGCTTTGTAGAAGATGAAATGTTGTTTTGTTTTTCTACTGCCACATACTGTATGCAGCCTCAGGCCAGTGTTTGTTGTGCCACTTTCATTTTATCCTCTAGACACTGCTGGGCCACAACTCCCAGAATCTTTAACGGTTGGCTGTACCGGCCAATGGATGCTGCAGTCCAACATCTTCTGCAGAGCCACAAGCCACGGACAGAATTCTCTCTGTACTATCCTAGAACACTTCCATTTCTGAAAATTTCCATTTTTTCTGAAAAAAAGTTTTTCCCCTGGGGAAAAAAAAGGAAATTTTACATCTCTAAACATTGTCAGTAGACAGATCAACATGTACACACCAGTAATGTAAAGAAGGATTAGGGAGCTTTTTCCCTGTCTCGCAGTTGTGAGCATCCCATAGTTATAGTCCACTACAGAATGCCACAGGCAAAATCCACAAGGGGCACTATGGTGGTGAAACATTTTTTATACACCTCTATGTTAAGAATGTCTACTACATCTCAGTATTTTCTCTTCCTGCCCCTGAAAGTGGCCACCTATCACTCACCACACAGACAGTTCATTTTGCGCTAACTATCATCTAAATCCACTTTAGATGGTACACATCCTAAGACCGAAAAATTTACTGGAAGAAGCTAAGGCTACACTTGCATGCCATCAAAATGAACACCTGGGGCAGGAGATGTTTAAGACTTCCACGAGAGCAGTTCTTTCAGCTAGCAAGACCACAGAAAATACTACTTCTTGAATCTCTTGAATGTAAGTCCCATATAGAGAAGTGTAAGATGTGTACCAGGTTAGCCTATAGTTGGGACTTGTCCTAAATATAGAACAGAAAAGAGTGAACCCAACCCTAGAAAACATGAATCTTCCAATGCATCTCATCCAATGTACCATGACTAACAGCTAGTACATACAACTTTATTTAAAGTGTTTTGACTAAATATTCGAGTCCCTTCACAAGGCAGGAGATAAAAACATTTCTCACCTTTAGTTGTAAGCAACTAGATCTAACCAGATTGAAGATTTCGATCCCCAAAAGTGACATCAAGATGAAATTCACAAATAAAGCCAATGTAAGAGAAAGTTCACACACGATGTTAATAATCTCATGAATGCATTATGGATAAGATGCTCTGACCTTGGGTTTGATCCAGCCAGACAAAATGTCTGTTCTCCTTCCCAACATGAAACACACTTCAGAGAGACTGGAGACATCAAACAGAGACCTTTTAAGTATAGACACTTCACACAATTAGGTGAGAATCAAAACTGAGACAGATTACTTTACTTATGCGTAAGCCAGACCTTACAAAGGGATCCTTCTTGACAATTTAGAACCTTAAATCAGTACTTTTCAGACTTTGGTCCTCTATATGTTTTGGACTTCTCTGAATCCCTAACCACTAACCAAGCAGACTGCATTCCTCAGAGCTGAAGTCCACAACATCTGGATAACCAAAGGCTTGACAACCACTGCCTTGGGACAACTGAGTACCTCTACTGATAACACGCATGGCTTGGGTAGACACATCTGAGAACTTTCTCAGCTTTTAAAAACTTTCCTCCAAGGAGAGGCTCAAGGCAAAATATGTAGGATTTTCAAAAAAACAAAAGTGTTGCATGCCAAATAATGAAAATATTAACAAAAGGAAACTGATACAGAGACCAAACATCCACCCATTCTTCATCAATGGGAAATTTGAATACTTAGATGAGGGGGTGTTCCTAACATCTTATTTTTTAAAAAAACTTTCCAACCTTATTGTGCTCAGGATGGATGGGTGAATAAAGCTCACACCACTGTCTCAGTTGCATAGCATACTGTATTTGCTACCCTTTCATCTATGCACTACTGCTCTAAATTTATTCCAGCATTCTGCAACCCTATAAGTGGTCCTGATCCATGAAAGCTCGCAGATTGTATGGTTATTTTTAGTGGTCTATAAAGGTATTGCCTACTCTTACATCCACAGTATAAAGTAGAGGCGGGAACTCTGAATTTCCAAGTACAGTACTTTAAAATAGGGCTCCCATTATCCCTTAATTCTAGTCATGCCATTTTGGGCCTCTGGGAGTTGTAGTCAAAATATATAGAAGGCCAAAGGTTTCCCATCTCCGCCACATGAAGTAGCCATAGGGCCACCACTCTTTACAAGAAAGTATTTGCCACTATGTATGCATAGAGACCAATCCCAGCTTCCCTATATACACACATTTGTGTGTGTGTGTGTGTGTGTGTGTGTGTGTGTCTGTGTGTGTGTGTGTGTGTGTGTGTGTTGGGTTCAAAAGTCATAAAAAACACTGATTTTAACAGAATTGCTTTCCATGTAAATACACTTAAAATTGGGACAGAAAATTCAAATCTTCAGCTAGCCATAATGCTCCCATCCTACAGCTATTGCAAGAACGAAGATTTACAGAGCACTTTGTATACAAAGTGAATAGAAATTACTCCTATATTAAACCAAAGTACAGTAATTAATTCAAGTGTCACATGACACTTTCACCCAGGATTTCATCAAGATTTCTTTACATTCTTTCCTAAGTCTTTTTTATACTGTTATCAATTAATCAAATATTTATATGCTTTTCACAGGTGAAAAAAAGAGACTGTTCTTCAATGTAAGAACCACGTTTCTCAGAAGGTTACAAGCTCTCATATCAGTAAAACTGAGTGCACAATCTTGGAGGAGTCTTTAAAAAACGCAAGATAGATTTTCTTATCATAGCACCTTTGTGATGCTATCCAGGCCTTTTCAAAATGGATGTTCCCTGTCAACATTTCCGTATGATGATAATTTACTGAATGAAGGGACAAGTAACACACGTATGATCTGGTATGGGTGCAATACACTATAATAACGTACTGTACATGCTACTTATTTCAGAAATGTCCAAGTCTACAGAGCTTACCGAAAGTCAAGCAAGCCCCATCTCTGGCCAAGAAGGCCTGTGTGCATTTTTCCCCAAGCAAATCCCAAAATGCCCTCACAAGGATGCCACGGATCTGGCCTCTCGCTGCAATTTGAGGATTATCCCCCCGCCACCGGATGACCTCAGGTTTCTGCCTCGCACAAAACCCAGCGCCGAGAGAGCATCGCGCAGGGAAACGTACCACCAACCTCCCTCCCTCCTACGGCCAGGGCGACACGTCTTACGAGGTCTCCAAAGCGGGGCGGTCCTCCAAATTTTGCTAATTCCAATTCTTCCCTAAAAGGCAAGTTATATTGTCTTAATAAGAAATTAACAACAAAGCATAGGCTCACATTCCAGTTGGGGTGAACCTGGGATCAGGCAAAGGGGGGACCAGGGAGCGGCGGAAAAGTGAGCGGGGACGGGGTGGGGGGGGAGAGAATCCCGTCTGCGCCCCAGCCCCTCTTACCTTGCGCGCCTGCCTTGGGGCTCGGGGTGAGCGATCCTCAGCCTTTTCATCAAGTCGTACGCCACATACCGGACGGGATCGCTACCCGGGGAATCCGGGGATCTCCTGCAGCCCTTCTTGGGCGGCGGCGGCGGCTGCCTCCCCACCACCCGAGGCAGCCTCCTCTACTGCAGCAGCAACAACCCCAGCCGGCACCCAAATGGACAAACACCCTGCCCGCCTATGACGCCACAAGCCAGCCAGTCTCCTCCTCCGGCCTTCCGTAAACGCTGCCCCCTGCAGGGCTGCTGCTGTAAATACCACTCCCCGCCACGCGCGCCATACCGAGTCCGGCCTCTGCGCGTCCGCGGCAGGCGTTCCGCGCGTTTCCTGAGCCCTTCCTAACCTCGGCTCAGGCGCCCTTCGTCTTGGGGGCTTCCTTCGGAGGGACCCCTGCGGGTCGCGGAAACCCGAAGCCCCACACCACGCGAGAAAGGCATCCCCTGTGTAGGACGCAGCGGCAGCCCTGGGGACCGAGTCCAAAAAAAATAAAACTTTTATCTGGACATAAAAGTCGGAGATCCCTATAAAGGTGGCAACCTTGACGAGGCCACCCATGAAGAGCGGAAGACACAAAATTCTCTAGAAGATCTCAAAGCAGCGAGGCCCCCTTCCTAACGTATGGTTTCTGTGTTGTTGTTTTTTGTGGAGTCCCTCAACCAATGTGGTTTGCTTTTTTTTTTAAGAACCCACCGTCAGCAAGGAAGGTTGGTGGATAATGTGGGAGAATCGCCCCCAAAATTTTGGGGAGGAAACACCTATTTCTGGACAACGAGCCGCCTGTGTCCTGAAAGCCACTGAATGCTTTGGCCTCCTTACAAACAGGAATGAATTTCAAAACCATGAAATACACTGCACCTAATTTGAGATAAACTGGTGCAGATGATCTGGCAATATTTATTCCACCGACCAGTCTATAAAACACTTTTGAGAATTAACGTTTCCAACACTTAGTCCAGGAAGGTTTTTAATAGCTATTTTCCACCTCTGTTTTTTAAATATATACTCGAAACTTTCCTTCTTGCAGAAGACAAAATAGCATCCTAGAGGTGGTGTAGGGGTTTTTAGAAGCTTATCTGGTTCCACTGAAACCACAGCACATTCAGGCTGGGATTTCACAGGCTGAGAGAAAAACCCATTCAGTTTCAGTGGTCAGAATCCTATTTCTAGTCTTAAATAGAGTAGACCCATCTAACCAATGGCTGAATGGTGAGTATACTGAAAATTCCACTGATTCAGAGGAGGGTACTCCAACTGGGACTACTAACAGCATTTTGACCAGTCAGACTCATTTCTGAATACAGATGGCTAAAAATGGTGTATTTTAAATTTACAGATTAGTTGCTACTAACAATCAGCATCTTAGACATCTGACTTCGGAGCAAGAGTTTGGGAGTTCGATTCCCAACTTGACATAGTCTGGACTCGATGATTCATAGAGTCCCTTTCAGTTGTGCAGTTCTTGGAGTACCGTATATTGACAGGCAATAACTGGTGGCTTGTAGTTTTCCAGAGGCTTATTTGTAACTCTGGTTGAAATCCTAGCTGTGCTTACTGAGGTGTATGTGCCACTGAATCCAGGTAGGACTTTCTTCAGAATACAGTACTTACATATAGGGTGTTAAAAATGTATACAATATATAAGATTCGCCTTTCTATACTTTGGAATATTTCTTGTTTCCAACTTTCCATAGTTGTAAGAATTTTGGATGACTTTTATACATTATTTAGGTATTTCTACCTACAGATTTCTTCCCTATAGCTGTAAGATTGATTTCTGTGTAACTGAAAGTGTTGACATAGTCTGGACTCGATGATTCATAGAGTCCCTTTCAGTTGTGCAGTTCTTGGAGTACCGTATATTGACAGGCAACAACTGGTAGCTTGTAGTTTTCCAGAGGCTTATTTGTAACTCTGGTTGAAATCCTAGCTGTGCTTACTGAGGTGTATGTGCCACTGAATCCAGGTAGGACTTTCTTCAGAATACTTACATATAGGGTGTTAAAAATGTATACAATATATAAGATTCGCCTTTCCATACTTTGGAATATTTCTTGTTTCCAACTTTCCATAGTTGTAAGAATTTTGGATGACTTTTACATTATTTAGGTATTTCTTCCTACAGATTTCTTCCCCTATAGCTGTAAGATTGATTTCTGTGTAACTGAAAGTGTTTGTAACTTCCAAATTAATAATGATGATCATTTGCTGTAAAGTCAATTCTGACTCCTTTTCAAAGTTTTCCAGGTAGAAAGTACTCAAAAGTGTGCCCCAAGCCACACAGGCTGGCTGTACTCACAGGACGCACTGTGGGGAATCAAAACTACCAGTCTCTGCAGCCAGATACCTAAACCACTAAACTATGTAAACAGCTTAACATGTTGGATTTTAAATATTTTCATGTATAGAAGCAATTTAGATGGGGAAAACACTTGTACATCAGGCAAGCTGATGTTGTTGATGTCTAGAGAAGACTTCATCATGGGTGAAACAGCAGATTATTGTCATCTTCTGAAGAATTAAACAGTGAAACAGCTTATACTTTTATACCCAGATGAACCTTGATATGGTTGACATGGTTATTTTATCTCATACTGAAATTAACTCTATAACGGAAAAAATATCAGCTGTGATGGTCCCCCACAGACTCAAACTACCAAGGAGTGTTATCTCTGTAATGGAAAAAATATCAGCTGTGATGGCCCCCCACAGACTCAAACTACCAAGAAGTGTTATAAACTTTATAGCACTCTGACAACTTTGTTTTGAGTGTCATACATATGACTTTGACGAGGCTAGAGCCGAGTATCATTTTAATTATGGAGCTGAAACCACAGTACATAATGGAATGGTGTCTCAAATAAGTACATAATTAGGAATATTATAAATCAGGAAAGTACTGTATGAAATTAAAATAGAAGCAGCTCTCTCTGGAGTAAACAGGTAGCAGCTGAAAAGGTATGCTGATGAATGACTCACTAGCATACAGATCATAATAAAATAACTAGCTCTGTCCTTCTGAAGTAACTCAAGTAGAAATGTGGGTCACAGCAAATTACCAGTTCCAGTATGAAGTGAGAGAAGTCAGTAGAAATGCCTGTTACCAATTTCTCCCTTTCACCTTCTTATGTCAGTCTTTTACATGCATGCATTTAGGGCGATTTCAGTTCTGCACATCCAGTGAAAAAATTTTCATGTATGGCACACATTTTTTTTATCTTCCTGAAACTGTAAAAAAATAATATTTAAATGCAAGAACAATTCTATAAATTGTGTACTGATACCAAGCAAACAAATGTTCTCTGTGCTGACAATGAGACATTAAGCTTAAAGGGCAACCAGCATTAAAAAAAAGTCTAGATTAACCCTCCTACACCAGGATTAAAAAAGAAAAGTGCATTCTGTAGGCTGTGGAGTATTTTATGACCCCATTGGAATTCCAGCATAATGAAGCTTGGCATATGGTTAGGATTAGATTTATGTAGGAGTCTTGTATGTCATGAACCTACTGGGAATTCCAAAGTGGTTTGTGATACCCAATCATAGCTAAATGTATTGTTCTGTAAATATGTGATGGGGAGAGCATGGCATGGTGGTAAAAATGGTTCTGATTGATTTAGATAAACAAGATAAGGAGGAACAGTGTGTGTGTGTTAGAGAAATCAGTTTTGAATCTGATGTAGAGACATCAGAGGGGACAGTTTTGAAGTCAGAGATGGGAGGGAAATGGTAATAGAGCAAAGAATTGCACTGAATTAATATAAACCTTTTTTAACAATCTTCTTTTAATAAAACCTTATCCTGTTCAAACGGAGTGGTGCCGAGTTTAACACTTGAGGATGGGCTATGTGGTAGAAGGGACTGAGTGAAGGGTTACACGTACAGAGGAGCAGCTAAAGGTTGGTGGCAGTGAAAGCGGAAGAGAGGAAATAATGAAAGATTGGTGAAGAAAACACATTTATTCCTGTGGAGATTAAAATAGGCTATTACCTCCATAGTCAAGCACCGAGGCAAAGCAAGGTTTGACAACAGCGTCACAGGGAAGGGGTGTGACAGAGTAAATCTGTAATTAACCAGAATGCGTCACTTTTCATCATCATCTTAAAACTGCAGAGCTAGAAGGGACTCTGTGGATCATTGAGTCCAGCCCCTATCAGGGAGGCACAGTGGGAAATCCAACTCCCAAGCTCTGGCTCCACTGCCAGGTGCCTAAACCCCACAGCTATCGGTTCTCAGCATCATGGTTTGCTATTTAAAATAAAAAGCATGCTTTGTTGTTGCTTTTTGTCCCAATAGATTGCATTAGCTGGAACTGAAAGATACCCCAAGAACAAAGATCAATCAATTTTTGAGGATACAGTAATTCTGTCTCGAGTTGTTTGTCATACGTGTACATCGCAAGTGGTATGAATCTTCAGCACATGAACATCTGTGTAGCATATAACATTGTAGAAGGCCTAGACTGTACTTCTAGTTCTGTGTAAAAACTGCAACAAACCATGACTGGCGGGTGGCAGGGACTAAACGGATCCATCCTTATACATGAGGGTTAATAGTGAACTTCTGTATTGGTGGAATCTACTTAATTTGCCAGACAGCGGTTCTAGACTTAGAGCTATATTTGACCATCTTATAGGTGGCAAGTACTTTCATCAAGGTGACCACAGATAGCACAAAAGGACTCATAAATACAGAGCATGTATAAGGCTTCAGTGAGGCAGAAGAGATTCAATGGAAAAAGATCTAACCAACAGCGGTTCAGTGGAGCCAGGGCTCACAGGGTTGGAGTCTGAGGACTGTCTGATTAGCAGGGACTATGACATCATCTGCCACCTCCTTAAAGCATCCTTGTTCTTTGTAAGCATCGCAGCAGTCCTCCGAGAAGCTGGGAGCAAAATGAATTTTCCCAGGAATTATATACTATTGCAAGATATCCATGGCAATTCAAAGTATTTAAGGGTGGTTTGGTCCTGAATGGGCAGTTAAGAACCATTCACTTTACAAAAGACCTACTCCTCATTTGCTGATATGTGCTGATCCAACTGGGCACCAAGTGTGGTACTGTGGATACAATAATGGGCTAAGACTCGGGAGACTGTGGCTCAATTCCACAACTCTACCATGGAAGTTCACTGGGGTAGAACTGGTAAAAAACCACTTATTGAATGCCTCAGTTACCTTTTAACTCCTATTAAGGTTCGCTGTTAGTTCTGACTTGACAACACATAATAACTGATTACAGGACCATGGGAGAGCAACAGAGACTCACAATGAACATCCAAGGTGACCACTGCACTATTGCAACCCCAAAATGCACACAGGCCATGGCTCTTTGTCCTTTGTATATTAATACATAATGAAACAATAGAATAGCTTAAATCCTGCTGCTTAGCAGGTTAATAGGTCCCCACTAGAGTAGGTCCATTGAATCAGTGGAGATTTTGATGAGCAAGTCAAAGTTTAGATTCATTTGAACCAATGGAAATCATGGAGGGGTCAACTCACCAAAATCCCCAGATTGATTCAATGGGCTTTATCTAGTGCAATTTACAAGATTTCAGGCACTAACTCCTATATAAAATACATACATCACTCTACCTTTTTCAAAATCAGGCTCTCCCTTCTTAACAATGGAGTAGGGGATGACCCACAATTTAAAAAAACTCTTTAAGATTTAGTGAAGTTGACAGAAGCTAGTTCAGGAAGTTGGAAAAAACTGTGATCATAGTTAGTAATTCAGTGTTTCAGCTTGTGATAATCTGTTGGTAACCCCCATACAATTGAGAAAAAAAAAACCTCATGTGAAAAACTACATAAAAGACCTACATGTTGGGAGAAATCTCTCATTCAGAGAGGAGCCAACATTATTCTGAATGCTTGTGGAATTTTCACTGGAAATACCATCACATGCTGCTAGGAATTTTCAGACTTTAAGGACACCAATGTTGGAGATGGCGAGAAAGAGCCACACGTTCATCTGACCAAACTATTGACAGCTGCAAAGATAAATCATGGTGTTTTTAATGTTATTTGTCCAAATATCCCACTGAATATTGGGATGTCCTTATGGAGATTTCCTAAAAGCCTTACCTACTCTTGAAAAGCCGCTGCAAATGGTAATATATATGCTAATGGAAAAACCTTTTTGCATATTAATATTTATCCAAGAATTAATAGAACTGATTACAAATTTATATATGAATAGTGAAATAATGCAGAACGTTAATGTGAAAAATGTAAAGAATATAACAAAGAATGTTACTGTGAAAACAGTTATAATTTAGAATTTATACTGAGCTTGGAAAATAATGAAAATCTGAGCATTCAAAATAGTAAGAAATTTTTACTTAATGTGAAAAGCAAACTTCATTTGATGATGCAAACTTTCATCTTTTAAAGTTATCTTGTTTTTTTAGGAGAGTCAACACTTTAAAATTAAGGAATTGCACTGAAATTATTATTCTTTAAGAGACCATGAAAGTCATTATGAGCTACTGCAAAAAATAAAAAACCTTTGGCCTTCAGTTACAATATGCATATATTTGTTTCAAACGGGAAAATTTGAAAGGCAACATCAGAATCTGATTCTAAAG